GTTGCTACATAGTACCAAAAGTTTTAATTAAATTCCAGCAGGAGGAAACAAGATTCAAATTTTATTTAAATTTAAATTGATAAAAACCTAAAATGTTATTAGACTAAAATTTCTGAAAATGACAAAAGCTCTCCCCACTCTTTATATACATCCGTTCATGTTCACAAGCACACCACATGAATTGTCACGATGTAATGAATGTTTTTTTCGGTGCAGCTCATTGTTTGTTTTTTTACTCGTTCCTCTTGCCTGGAAATCCAAACAAAAAGATGGTTTGGACATTTTGTAAAACTATGATTTATTGCCTGCAGTTTTTGGCTATTTGTTAGACGCCAATGTCCAATAATTCCAACATACAGACATGGGATAGATTATGTAGTTCGGTCAGGTAAAGCTCTTCCCCAACTTCAAATAGATGAAACATACGTAGGGATGAAAATAAGATTTTATATTAGGAATAATTTATAAAATTTTAAGAACAAATCTAAAATTTTAAGGAATGAAAACATATTATCAATATAAAATACTAAAAAATATTATTTTTTGTAGTATTTGAAAATTTAGGGTTTATGTTAGAGAGTTGAATTTTAAGGGATATTGGGAGAATGATTTGAGATACACCCAGTTTTTGAATTATATAAGAAATGGTGTATTTGTATTCTTTATGATCTTTACGTTTATAATGAATAGTTTGAGGTCATTACAAGGTAGTATCTGTTCAATATCTTTCTTAACCATTAACATTATACACACTCTGCAGATGTAACTGCTAGAACCCAGGACCTCAACACTCCCTGGTAGTATCTGTTCAAAGACTCTCAACCATTTGACATTGAATGCTCATACCTCTAACATTTTTTGTGCTCGAATCTGTAACCTCAAAGAATAATAACAATTTCTGTAATACCGACATCACTTGATTCGTGCTTGTACGTTTCTTTCTATATATATATATATATATATATATCGTTTATTGTAATGTAAGGGCAACGTAATGTTAGGCACATGAAGGTCAAACTTTTTTCTTTAATACATACGTAAACATGTACAATGGCGGAGTTTCGTGTCAAAGAGGGACACGGGTCGCATTAATTTAAGTCATGGATTGCATGACAAGACACGAACATCCCCTTTTATTTATTTCAATGTTTGCATGAATCTTACAATTATTTCTCTCTCAAATCAAAATACCAGATGTGATGGCACATGCAACTGTCCATCCCCTTTTTCTGTTTCTACAAAAAAATCTTTGAATTTCAGTCCATATATTATATGTTCTCAATGACATGATGCTAATGTCGACTGTTGAATATGCTTCCCATGTGATTGCACTGCATCTTTTGCACCGTTCTAAAACTATTTTATAATCTATGACTATTATTTTATACTTGTTTCATTAATTTAATTATTGTTCTGTAATTTTAAAATTTAAATAATAAAAGTCATCTCATTATAGTTTGTGTACGTTACACTAAATATATACGTTTAGTGTTTATAATTTATAAGATGGAATTTGTTCAGAATTTATTTTAGTTATTAAAATAATATATACATTACGTAGTGAAATGAAGCAAATTGGATTAGGAGGATCACCCTCGTTTATGTATTAACCGATCTGGATTAGTCGGTCAATAGATCGGATATAAGTGATTAATTAAAAAATAACGTATACATTACGTGTCCTATAATACCTTAAAGAAGAATAATACTCATTCTAATCACTAAGTTCACTTAATAAATTTAGGGTGAGGTAAACAAATGGTCCTCTGACTATAGGGTATCGCTTTATTAAGTTTATTGACTATTAAAAGTTACAAAATGATCATTTGACTATAGAATGATACTTTATTAAGTCCCTCGACTATTAAAAATTGCAAAATGATCACCTGACTATTCATATATTCCAAAATCATCTTTTTTCATTAAAAATTTGATGGTATTTTGAGTTGAATGTTAACCTGCTGATTGTGATATGATAAAATCTAATCACAGAATCTCAAACGACTATCATATTCCAGTTATCATGTTAACATCTAACTTAGACAATCGCTAATTTTTTAATGGAAAAAGATGAGCTTGGAACATAATGAATAATCGGGTGACCATTTTATAATTTTTAATAATCGAGGGACTTAATAAAGTAATATCCTATAGTCAAGGGACCATTTGTGTACTTTACACATAAATTTATAATGATTTTTGAAGTTGAAACTTAACATCATAGTTTGGAATATATTTTTGATATTTATATATAATGAAAATTTGGGAATACATGTACTTGGTCGCAAATTGAGTTTGTTCAAAATCGAGAATCAACCCAAGCTGAGTAGCAGTCAAGAAGAGGTTGGTGGCTATAACTAATATCATTAATTGATTTATTGAAAATTAAAAAAACTACTAATCAACCGTTGAAATAAGAATGAAACACGTTTTAATAATTATATATCCTATTGCATTAATTTTTTGGTTGCCCTCTACTTCTCCAAATTTTCGTCCCGATTAATCTGGATCGATCTGGATCTCACACCTAATTTTGATGGGTGAGTCTCCAGTGAATATTTTCTGCATACACAAAAATTCGAACCTGAGACATTACGTAACAATATTAAACTGTTTACCACTTGAACTAACCCCGCTAGTATTGATCTATTGCATTATTACATCATGTTTGCTTCACCAAATGAAATACGAAAATGAGATAGATATTCAATAAAATTGAAAGAAAAGGAACAAAAAGTAGTTTTATAAAAATATTATACATATTTGAAAGGTACGAAGGGTCTCTTTAAATATGTAAATCTCACGTATAACCATTATATTAATCATATCATATCATTAATTATCTTATGTTGTTAGATTCTCACTGATCGATCGTTCTCTTACGATCGCATGTTACCGCTTGCCATTTAATCTATGATCTTTAAGTTGGATTTGAGAATTAGTGATTTGAGAGACTAAAAAAAGAGTTTTTAGATTTTTTGAAATGTATTTAAAAAAAATATTAATATCATGTGTCAAACAACCAACCATTTGTTGACAAATCTTTTTAACATGGGTAAATTATAAACTTGGTAACTGAATTTTATTCTCTCTTATTTCACTCACTGTACTTTAAAAGTTTTCAATTTCCTCATTAAACTTAATACATTGGGTTTTTTTGGGTCGCTCGCCATTTCCTCCTAACGATGTTATAAACGAGCTTTTATATAGATGTAAAACGACGTCATTTTGGTGAAAACTTTATTTTTGTAAACGGTGTCGTTTTAATGCCGTTAACTATTTAATGACGAAGTGACAAAAAAACCAATGTATTAAGTTCAGTGAGGAAATTGAAAACTTTTAAAGTTCATTTAGCAAAATTGGAAAGAGAGTAAAGTTTAATGATGAAAATTGTAATTTACCCTTTTGAAATTAGTTGGTAGAATGATTTAAAATGACCTTAGACCTTAAATGATAACTTTGAAAATATGAGTGAATTTGACCCAACAAGATTAATTTTTATATAAATTGACTCAACAAACTTAATTTCTGTATAAATAGTTACAGATAATTACAATGACTAATAAAAAAATATAGGGTTAACTACACGAATGATCACTTATGTTTGTGTTATGTTCACGTTTGGTCACTAATTTTAAAAAACATAAGATATGATCACTTTTGTTTTTATTTAATTAAGATATGGTCACTTTCATTTTTATTTAATTAAGATGTGATCATCATTAGGGTTGTAAATGAGATGAGACAGATCGCAAGCTAATCGAGATCGGCTCAAGTTCTTAATGAGTCAAAACGAACTACTTGAACTTGACTCGAAAAACTCGTTAGTAGCTCAAAAATATAATATATTAAGATATTATTATTTTTTAAAAATTATTAATAAATATTAACATTTATGTGTTGATTTTTTTAAAATGCAGTATAAGTTTTTCATGTATTTAAGGTTCAAGTTCGAGTTTTAGTCTTCAATCGAAGTAAGTTTAAGATTTTTTTTATTTCGAGCTTTTACGAGCTTCAGTTCATGATTTCGAGTTCGTGTCGAGATTGAAAATATTAGGCTCGCGAATTTTTCGTTTTGAGTCGAACTCCATTTTAGAGTTTTCAAGTCTAGTCGAGCTCAGCAATACTCGAGCTCGACTCGACTCATTACAACCCTAGTCATCAAGGATTAACTGTTGTTAACAATTAACAGAATATGTGACGTGATAGTTGGTATAATCACATATTTGGTCTCTTTTATTTACCTATTCTCTCAATTTAGTCATATTTTTAAATAAATTTTAACATAAATATATATTTTTAAATGATAATAAATATAATTTTTTTTTAAATTAAGTTAATAATTAATTATATTTAATAAGTTAAGATAAAATTTTAAAGTTAATATATATAATATTATAAATTTAAGTATTTATACACTAAGATACAAAATATATACACCTTGTTGTCTACTTTAGACTAAGCAATGGTCTTGGCTTAATGGTTGGATACATGTTTAGTTTCCTAAGTGACCAATGTTTGAATCTTTTTCCCCCAATTTGCTTTCCTTTGGTTTTTTTTTCAACCAGAGGGTCACACATGTCACTCTTTGATTGGTCAAAATAAATATATTAAATTAAAATATAGTTAGTCCTCCAACCGAATGGTGACATCTGACATCATTCGATTGGAGAATTAAATTTATTGTAATGTATTAAAAGTATGACTGAATTGAGAGAATATGTAAATAATAAGGCCCAAATATGTGATTATATCAAAATATTTAATTGTTGTTAACGATAGTTAACTCGGGATGACCGCATATTAATTAAATAAAAATGAAAGTGATTATATCTTATATTTTTTGAAATCAATGACCAAAAGTGGATAAAACACAAATATAAACGATCATCCGTGTAGTTAATCCAAAAATATAAATCCATTCCTCCCATTTCCTCTCGCATCGCCGTCTATATATATATTTCATCTCAAACATTCAAGCCTATTTTCCTCCTCGAAAGTATTTTATGTATCTTCCAACCCCTTAGTACATCATCACTGTTTGATTTTCAAAATCTTTGAGAGAGAAAAAAAGGTGGATCCAAGGCATGGAAAACGGCCACTTCCACCGGAAACATCGGAGGAGAAGAGAGAACGACGCTATGACTTCAGCACAAGTTCTTGGCCGGAATCAGCCGATATTAGGGCTCTAACTCACGTGATGGACACCGATGAGCAGCAGCTTCTCAGCTTCGAACAATCGCCGGTGCAGTCCGCCGTGAAAGAAGACCCCGGCCGTCCTCCTCAACCCCCAGTACTTCAAGATCAAGGTGCATAATATTTGTTCATATCTTTGATTATAACAACATTTTTTCTTATCCGATTAATCAAATTCGTGCTAACATAAAATTTTACCTTCGTTCCGAATTTCATTTTTACATTTTTAGATAGGAAAATAGAAATACACAAAAGTTTTTTTCTCTCTCTCTAGGGTTAGTCAAAGTTCAATGTATCAACCCCAATCCTTGGCTTACTTTCCTATAGAATAAATTATTGTACTTTACTGTCAACTGTGATTACACAAGAGACGTGATGGGATCTATCTTGTGGATTGGGGTTTACATTCATTTTTTCTTTTCTTCCTTGACCAAGGAGCTGTTCTTGGAGTTAACGATCTTACATTCCTTGCCTCTGAATTGTGCCCACCATTGAAAATGATTTACTGAGATTGACATTTTTAAAACGCTAAAACGACGTGCTTCGAATGCTTGGTTCTTCAAGCTTCTTGTGGTGATTTAGAACACTTCTACCATCGGTTTTTTGACTTGAGTTTGATATTCTTTTGGGTTATTGAAGTTTGTTCATTGGAAGAATAAAAGTAGGGTAATAAAATACGTTGGATCCTCATTGTTGCATGCATCTTTCTTCTTTTAGTACTTTTCTTTTAACTATGATATTAGATAATTATTGGCCGATTAATTTAGATCGGATATTATAAAAATTCATTTTACGATATATCTTAATGTGCTAACTATTCTATCATGTTATATTCTATGCCAAACTTGTCTTACTAGACTTCAATGACATTTATAATTTGGTGGTTAAGAGAACATAAGCAAACGGCATTACAGAGGAGTGAGGCAAAGGCCATGGGGCAAGTGGGCGGCTGAAATTCGTGATCCGAAGAAAGCAGCCCGGGTGTGGCTCGGCACTTTCGAGACGGCCGAGGAAGCAGCCCTTGCATACGATAGAGCCGCTCTCAAGTTCAAAGGTACCAAGGCCAAACTAAATTTCCCCGAACTAGCTCAAGGAGAAGTGGAGCCAAGTCGTGGAGATTCAAGCGCCGTGCGAGTGCAACCCGAACAAAATCCTACGCCGGTTGCTCCGCCTTCTTCGTTGTCTCAGGATACGTATCCGCACTTGTTTGAATATGCACAATTGCTTTCGAGTAGTAGCGATGCTGATATCTCGTATTACACTTCGAATCTCTTCAATGATCAACGACATTTGTCTCCACAGTTCCCTTCAATGTCGGCATCGTCACAGCAATACCACCACCAGGACCCTACAAGGTTTTCGACCAAGTTCGAGAGCTCTTCGGGTACCGATTATCGGGAGCACTACGGTAAGAACTTTGATCCGAGTAATAGAAGCGGGTAAGGCAATATATAGTAGCCTTTTCAAGTTGTTTGATTACAACATACTGTTGGTAAATATTCACCATAAAACAGGTCGTTTGCATTGACAAGTAAAAATAAAAACATAAAATGTGACGATTAAAATAAATTTATCATATTGTCGTGAAAACTATTGTTTTAAAAATAATTTTTTATGATACTGAACATATATTATCTCTTAATCACTTCACATTATTTTAAAAAAATATTAAAAATAAATTTAACATCACATTAACTTATAAAAACACCGATAAAAAACAGATCAAAGAGAACAAACACTACTTCATTTAAAATCAAAATTAAAATAGTGATAATACAAGAGACTTGAGGTTTCAATTTTAAATTTCATATTTATTCAACTGATTTGTCCAAAGAGATTTTCATTAGAGTGTAATTACCATTTGCTATTTTCCGATGTTATTAAAATAGGGCATAGGGATGGGCATGGGTCGGGTTTTTGTTCCACCCGACCTGACCCGAGAACAAGGAGTCCTCTACACGAGATCCGACCCGACCAAAACAAGATTTCACCCGACCCGAACCTGATCCGATATATAATTTAAAACCCCGACCCAACCTGAAATAATAATAAAATAGTATTTTTATTCAATAAAAATAATGACTTAATTGAAAAAATAATATATAGATGGGTATTATTGTAATTATTCTTAAATATATAAGGTAAGATTATATATTTTTTTCGGGTCAGGTCGGGTCGGGTATTTTTCACCCTAAACCCGAACCCGACAAGAGCCAAACATCACAATTAAAAAACCGACCCGACCCGAACCCGATTTTTTTTTTAAAAAACCCAACCCGATCGGGTCGGGTCGAGTCAAAACCCGTCGGGTTCGAGTCCCATACCCATTCCTAATAGGGCAACACGACACACAGGTGTCAAACATATACCATTAAAACCCTAAATAATATAGAGAAGTATATATTCTATTCCTAAGAAATTTGAATAATAATTAATATTACTTAATCAACGTTAAAATTTAATAGTATTCAAAAGAATATTGATTTTAATTAAAAGTAAAAGATTCTCATTAATTGAATACACACATGACGCTCAGTCTATTTATCTTTTTCTTGTCTTCTAATTTTAAAGTTTTGTCCGGATTAATATAGATCTATTCGGATCTTATAGACCTACTCAGGCCGCGTACCTAGTTTTAGTGAGTGAGTCTCCTAACGGGAGTTTTTTACATACACAAGTACTCGAACTTGAAATTTTTCTTAAACAATATCAAACCGCTTACCACTTAACCTAAATCAGGTCTATTTATCTTATCGAACTGTGAATAATCATCATCACTTTAGATTTGATATCAACACTAGGAAAGTGGACCCTTCCATGCAGTGCTATCTCTAATTGAATCTATGAAATTGCCTTTTTTTATCTCTTGTGATATGATTTGATCATGCCAACCCAATATAATAAGTGAAAGTAATTCCATGAGATCTAGACGATAAAGTTGAATCATAATACATATCATCGGTTCCCATCAAAAGATTCAATAAGAATAATTCCAAAGGCAAGTGAGGGAAAAAAAATCTCGATCAAATATGTTATACTGTATTACGAAAATTTAATTAGTTAACGAAAGACCATCGTTTTCCGAGAGGAAAAGGAACCGACGAAGATGGGGGATTCCAATAAGAAAGCGACTGATAAAGATGAAGATTGTGACTTCTTCTTCAGCGTCAACGTACGGTTGCTTTCTATCGGAATCCCCAGTTTTTACAGGTTCTGCAAAGTAAGATTCACCACCTCTTCTTCATGAGAAGGATAAGGAGGCTTGTCTCTGATCTGAATATTTTGCCATTGCTTCCGAAGTAAAGAGAAAATACAGAAGAATACAAACAATAAGGCAAAAAAGCACCCGAGATCCCTGAATTTTTCAAGAAAAAACTAATGTGACTCTCATCCCTATTTTTTAAAATCAATGTGACCTTCAACTTGAAAAAAAAAACTTAATGTGAGACTTTGACCAACTTTTCCGTCATTGACCGAGGTTTCCGTTTATTTACGCTGTTATAAATTTGGTCAATTACACCATTTTCACCTAATTATTTTCTTCTCTTTTATTTTGGTCACTCAACTCTAAAAATTTTTAATTTTAGAAACTTTAGAGACTTCAAGGACTAAGGCTGTAGTTAACCCATTTTATTTTAAGGGTAAACTATAAAAACGACCCCTTATGTTTCAAGGATAAATTACTAATCATCTGCCTTTTTGTAAACCAAAAATAATTTAGGAATAAAATATCAATTTACTTTTTCTCATGTTTTCTTCACCAAACCCCAAAAGGTTCAAACCTGCAATTTTCATGGTGTTCTCATCAAATAAAATACTAATCACAACCTCCCCAATTTATTACAAGCCGGGAAATGATCACGTGCGAAAGCTTTAATATATGGTTAAAAAATATACTATTGGTTTTCTTATTATTTAAATAATAAACCGGTAAAAAAATTACCGGAAACATTATTATTTCTACCGGTTTTGTTATTATTGGGTGTTTTACCGGTTTTGTTAATAAAACTGATAAAACGCTACTGATTTTGTTATTGTTGGGCACTTTACCGAAAATATTAAAAACCATTAATGTTTTAGGTAAAAATAATAATATTTTAAGTAATTTTTACCGATTTTATTATTTAAATAATAACAAAACTAATAACACTTTTTTTTAATTGTATATTAAGGATGTCGTACTATAGAACTTTCCCTTACAAGCCGCCACCATCATCATCACCTTCTCCATATACAGAACCTCCTCCATCACCACTATGTGTAGAGTACTCTCCACTTGCACCATTACCATCACCACCTCCCCCAATTTATTACAAGTCGCCCCCATCACCTTCACCTCCTTCACCACCAGTTCATCACCATTTTCCTCCACCGCCCATTATTTAAGAAATCCCGCCTCTTCCATTATCGCCACCACAAGTTCCAATATGAAGGGCCATCGCCACCAGTTCATCACCAGTAATCGAAGTGCCATAAGCACACCTTCATCACTACCTTTCTATTAATTTTTTTGAAAATTTTACTTCTCGGATGTTATTCACAAAAAAAAAAAAAAATTGAAGAAAAAGTTTATCACTTTATATCAACTATGGGATCGAACTTTCCATTGAACGCCATTGAAGAAGAAGGGTAAAAAGCCGAGAAAAAAATTAGGATAGAGAGGGTGTTAAGAGGAAAAAATCTCTCCTTTATTTAACTGAGAATTGGTATGGATATTTAAAAAAATTACAGAGAAAGTTGTATGTGTTGAGATGAATTTGATGAGAACACCATGAATTCTAGTTGTTTTTGTGCAATGAAAACTGATCAAAACAGAAGAGAAAAAAATAATTGAGTAATGAATGCTATAATTTATCTTTTCACCAAAAAATGATGTAATTTATTCAATTTATAATAGCAGAAATTAATGGAACTGTTGGATAATGACGGGAAAAAATTGATCAAAATAGAAGAGAAAAAATAATCGAGTAATGAATGATGTAATTTATCTTTTCACCAAAAAAACGTTGGTCAAAGATTATATTATGTTTTTTTTTTCGAGTTGTAGAGCCACATTAATCAAAATATAAAATGAGAGTCACATTGATTTTCTTGAAAAGTTCAAGGACCTCATGTACTTTTTTTCCCAAAAGTAAATATCGGAGAAGTTATGTTGTTTGCTGAACACAGAGGCTACGTATATATAGGGAGTTGCGGATAAAATGAATAGGTTTTCCTTGATTTTCTCACATTAACTCTCCTTAAATTAAAATATATCACATTACCTAATTTAAACCTTAAATCATAATTAAAATACCGATTAGGTCCTTAGTTATTTTTAATATTCGTTTTTTTATTTTAAATTTAAAATATTTTTATTTTTTTTCTAAAAGATTAAAATATGGGTAAACTACGTAATTAATACCTAAACTATCAGTTTTGATTCACTTTAGTGCTTAAACTTCTATTTTTTTTAAAACCGTACCAAACGTTTAATTTTTATTTCATTTTAGTATATCGCTGTTAAAAACTTAACGTATTTAGTACTTAAACTGTCATTTTGACCCGTTTTAGTACATAAACTTTGAATTTTTCAAAATTTAACGTTAAATTTTGGACAGATGTACTAAAATAAAACAAAAAATAATTTTTTTAACGACAAGTACTAAAATGAAATAAAAACTAAACTTTAAATATGATTTAAAAAATTAAAAATTTAGGTATTAAAACATACCAAAATTGATAATTTACGTGGTAAACACATAATTTACTCTAAAATATTTGTCCCTCGAACTCAACAAAAAAATTCATACCTAATATTTAGTTTTTGTTTCATTTTATTATCCTGCCATTAAAAACTTAACGCATTTAGATCTTAAATTATCAGTTTTAGTACCTAAACTTTTAATATTTTTTAAAATTTAATGTTAAATTTTGAAATGGAATACTAAAATGAAATAAACACTAAATTTTAGGTATGCTTTAAAAAAATTAAAAATTTAAGTATTCAAATGGACCAGAACTGATAGTGTAGGTAATCATGCGTAATTTACCCTAGAAAATAAGAAAAGGATAAATATATAATGGCAGGCAGCCCTCCGAAAAGTTGAGGCCGTTATCTTCCCGCGTAGAAACCTCTCTCTCTCTCTCTCTCTCTCTCTCTCTCTCGAATCTCACCATCTGATGGCGTCAATTTCAGCCGCTGGATTTCTGCCGCAACCCCTCGCCTTCTCTGCCGGTACCGGAAGAGCTTCTCCAACTGTGGTACGTCCTTCAATTTCCTCATGATTTCTTCTATCTAATAGACCACCCCAAACCGAAGTGACATATACGTTTTTTTGTCAGAGACCAATAGCATGCTTTTCACTGAAGCAGCAACAATCTCAGCTGATTGACCGAAGAAAAGTAACGGTAATTGGGACGGTTGGGTTACTCGCCGCCGCTCTCTGGCATTCTTCCGACGGAGATATTGGAACGGCAATGGCTGCCTCATCTGGATTTACTGATAGTACCTTTTTTTTGTCACTTAAAATTGCATTTCATTTTCACCACTTTCTTGGTTGAAAATTATACTTTGTTAACACAAATTGTTGTAATTTGGATCACAGTGCCTGCACTTAGGGGAAAAGATTATGGGAAGACCAAAATGAGGTATCCAGACTACACTGAAACAGAATCAGGTCTTCAGTACAAGGTCATTTTCTAGGAGAAAAAAAAATCAATTCAAAATTAAATGTAGTGTTTAGTTGGTGTGTGTGTTCATATATCTTAATAAAAATTTCAATGAGAATGCAGGACTTGCGGGTGGGGGATGGCCCTACACCCAATATGGGAGATACAGTTGTGGTAAGCAACAATTTTCAAATGCTTTTTACACCATTTTCAGGATTTTATGCTAGGGGACGAATTTATATAAAATTATGAGGAAGTGCAAACTTAAAAACTTTTAGGGGGCAAAAATAGATTTTCAATTGAAAATACAAAGAAAATATCTAAAATATATAGGAATTTGAAATTTTGTAAGGGGTTGGTGGGCGACTCCCCCCATCCGCTCTCACCTCTATCCATACTTGATGTTAATAATAGTAAATTGTTTGTGTCGGCCAATTTGTGGATACAATAAGCTTCCAGTTGAAGCCATTATGTTGTCAAGCTGAATGCAATAATGGGAAATCTTTGTAACTTTAGTACTTGTTTAGATAAGTTTCATTTATTGGAATGAACCTTTGGACATTGAAAAAACGGAAGGTCTGAGAAGCATTGGGAATATAGCATGATTAAGCTTTAGAAGGTATTGGGTGGAGTTTGGCACTTAAGGAAGGACCATATCTCTGTTAGTTAACATGAAGTGATTTTAATACCTTCATATTTGGATCATAATTGTTATTGTTATTACTTTTTGCCTAAGCTAGTTCAAGCAGTTTTATGAGCCATGAATTATGTACTGTAGGTTGATTGGGATGGCTACACTATAGGATATTATGGCCGCATATTTGAAGCTCGAAACAAGAGCAAAGGCGGTTCCTTTGTGGTACATAAACGTTTCCTATCCTAATTCTGCATGTAATTATTTCTTGATTTTATCCGGTTTAAAATATGCAGGGAGATGACAAAGACTTCTTCAAATTTAGACTTGGATCCCAAGAGGTGAGTAATTGTTTTTGCTAAAACAGATCGACTAATTTTCTCCATAAAACTCAAGAATGTTGGAGACACGTGATTCTACTTTGCCTTTTTATTGCCTTTTGATCTAAAAGAAAGTTCGGTCAGAATATCTTTTTACAATTTATGCTTGGCTAAGGCCTCTCTTTAGTTACTTTTTCTTTTAAAATTTATAAGCTGCTTCCAAAATGCAATATTATATGAAGTTTTCCTGCTATATACTGCAACTGCTTATTGAGGCTTAGATGGATATTGAGATAACAATATAAAAATGAAACCTTTGAACAAGTTTTTCTCGTTATCTATTATTCAGGTGATTCCAGCATTCGAGGAAGCAGTTTCAGGAATGACTCTTGGTGGTGTTAGAAGGTGGTTGCTATGTTTTTCTAATGCATATAATCTTGTTTACTGTATTTACACATTGCATACTCCTCTATGTAATATCCTGTGTCAAATAAATCCTCAATCTTGATCAATTGTTTCGATTGCATTTCGCTGCTTTTATTCAATTTGAGCAAATAATTGTGTGGTCAAAGCTGTAAAACATCTTTAACTTGATGCAGATACCTGACAATTTTACAACGAAAACAATCAAGGATTAAGTAATTTCTGTTGTATGATAATATGGAATGCAAACTTCACAGTTTACTTCACAGTGATGCAGGATCATAGTTCCGCCGGAACTGGGATATCCCGACAATGACTACAACAAAAGTGCCCCCAAACCAACGACCTTCTCGGTAAAATTCAAGCCGTTGACTCATTGTGTTTTATTCTTTTGTTCATATGATGTAGTGTTTTTCGGTGTCTTCCACAGGGTCAACGAGCATTAGATTTTGTGCTGAGGAACCAAGGGCTTATAGATAAGACTCTACTGTTCGATATTGAGCTGCTGAAAATCGTTCCAAATTGATTTTGGCTCAAAGGTCATCATTGCCTAAACAACTAGAAACCGAAAATATATCGAGGTTAGAAATTGTGAATGTTTTATGCTTTTGAGCTGGTCATATACCATTAAAATGAATCACGAGTCACCCTTTTTTATCCCAGGGAAGTTTTCTGATACTGTAAGTAACTGGGAGTTGAGGACTTGAGGTCCTCCATGGCTGAAAATATTGGAAAACATAATGAGCAAAGAATGTGAATTATCTCTTTGAAGCAAGCAGGGAGGCCATGTTTCATCCACCAAGTTCTAGCTATTCTTGAAATATAGAACAACTCTCGACAATTTTTTTTGACGTTTTATATATTATCAACTAAAATTTAATGGTGTGAAGAAAGATGTGATAGTCCATTGTGTCCAAATTCTGTAATGATCCAAATCCTCATTTCAGTGTCAGAAAGTTCTTGTAGCATTTGTGTATTGTTATGTGTTTATACTGTTCTTTTTGCTGGTTCTATCTGGTATCTACAGATGTCGGAAATAAATTGTTATTCCGAATAGCGTAAAATGATTACAAGACAATATTTGTTCAAAATTTTTACGCTTCAACCTGTAATTTCTAAGGAAAACAACACTACTTTTAAATACTGAGGCTACTTGATCGGTTCAGTAATTAAAATGAAAAAATATATATCTAAAATAAAAGTGATATTTTCTAAGTTTACATGATAAAGATGTCATTATGAAGTCGAGTAATAAGTTGGTGAGGTGCAGTTCCATTCAACAAGCTGGTTAAGTACCACAATAATTGCTCCCTTACCCCAATTAATGGCGGCTGTTCCACTTATATAAACAAAATAATTTCTTTTGTCATTAATCCTTGTACAATGTTTCAAGTTATCGATTAAGTCCCTATGGATTTGGTCAAAAGCAAGACATGCATGACCCGGACTTGCAGGAATCAACCATGTTCGTCGGATCAAAGAATCCCAATCAACATCACGCTAAACTTTAACATAATGACTCCTACTCGTTCTTTTGTAATGTTCAACATATTTAGCATAGGTAACAAAGTACACCCGATATTTGATTGTTACGCATCATGGAGTCGATTCCGCGATAGTTACATTTACAGGCAGCTACTATAACTTCTTCACACAGTTTATTATTATATTAGCTTTTTACATTGAAAGTAACACCATGATCATTCAAGTATGAGTAGGAAGAAATTACCCGGTAGTATACTAGTGACAGACAAAGAACAAACTCTTCTTTATATGATGTGCCTCATCGATAAAAGACTTGCGAGCTTATACGTACAGATAATACCTGCCGCTCTATATGTATTTGCTCCCTTGCATTGAAATCTGATTTAACAGACTTGGGGGCTTTCACAGAACTCCATTTCCTGCACCGCAAAATTAAAGACCCTTAAAATCAGATACAACCTGAAGATCCAGGAGAGAATGAGGCTAATTAAGTTGGCCGAATTTATCCTGAACACTCCATGGCCTAAAATATACAACATAGACTGCATGTAGCTGCGTTTTACAATGAGTAATTTGGTGTACTCTACGTACCTTGCCACATATCGGACAACTTTCACTCCTTTCCAACCATTCATAAATACAACCGAGATGAAAATGGTGTGAGCAGCGAGCAGTGATTTTAGGATTTTCTGGGGTATATTCTGCAAGAAAATAATCACTCATGAACATAAGCATAACTTCAAAATGCTAAAACGAAGTTCCTTTTTTGATCCAACTCTTAGAGAAATATGCAAAATTACCATCAAGACAAGTAGGGCAGACATCCTCATCTTCAGCTGAAGGCTGCATATAGTTAGGTCCTTGTGCAACTTTTGGTGCCACAGTTCTTTCTGATAACTCAAGATGAGAAACCTTAGAGTCTTCTTCTACCTCGACTCCATTCCATTTCCTCCCGATACCCAACGGTTCCACACCAGAGCTGCTTGTATTTCTTCTTAGTGGTTGTATTTCTTCTTGAAAATGAGTCGCAGACTTATCACGCCTAGACACCAAGCCATCACGCTGCAAGCGAGAATATCTCTGCTCAGCATCAAAAGGAATCGATCTGGATGTTGTAACATGAGTTTCATTGGCTGAATCATCTGACATTGCAGTAACAATCGCTGTTGATGACAGAGAAGCTCCTTGAATCTGTGATGATACAGGTCGCCCATCCAATCTATGAAACATTGCACCATACTGCAGATCAAAGAAGAAATTGAAAATTAAGAAGTTATTTCATCAATCTAAACTTAGTGTGAATATACAACATTGCGAAAGCAACAAAATTTGCACACTTCGCTTTCAAGAGAAACACGGTACATTCACAAGCTTTGTATTGCTAATTTAATATCTAAAGAACCTTATCGAGCATTTACCACGCTTTACACATTTCCTTCTTTAAAAAAAATTCATACAAAGTGAGGTTCAGAGCAATTAACAAATTGACATTAATCTGCTTTACACCTTACATTAATTTGCTTCAGACATACCCCTGTGAATAGCTGATAGAAGAAGAATCTTAGGCCGATGCAGTGCCTATAAATTGAATTGCTAGGATGAGCATATTCTTCGTAGTCGTCACCACATGAGCAGCAGCAAAAAACACCCATTTCTTCTTGCAATGTATGTATCTCTGATTACACAATTCGAGAAATGCCTTTAGAGCTAGAATAGAAATTCATTAACAAAATAGTTCAGCTTCCTTCTGGATACAAGACATTTCCTATGAGATTGAAGGGGAGAAAAAGAACCTTGGTATATCTCTGGTCACAAAAGCTGTTCAGTTCATCAGCGTTTTGGCTGTCCGAATTTCAACCTTGGGAGAAAAGTAATCTGATACATAGATAATGAAGGAAAATTAGGAATATAAAGCTAAGCAGAAGGATAAAGCCAAGACACCTCCATCAGAGATGGACTGAAAATTTCAAATCCCATATATTCTAGGTATTTTCATTGTATTTTCTATTGATAATCTGCTTTGCCACCCCCACCCCATCAAAACTCTATACATTCGCATCTTCTAAAAATTTATAAGTTCGGCCCCCTCTTAACATAAAATCATGAGTATGTCCCTGTCATTCATTAGCAGCCTGATGGATGCCCTACAATTCGAGTCCTTTTTTTTTCATGATAAATAGAATCCTAGAATTACTCCATTTTATTTTACCATAACCACAGAAGTTCATCTTCAACAATGAGTTAAAACTCACAAGCTAAAAAGCAAACACATTGAAGTTTGAGCATTGTTTGTCCTTCAAATGCGAACGAAACAGAAAACTTCCAAGAAATTCGCAATTCCAGAGTCAATAACTACACTTATCAACAAGCAAAACAGGCAATCTGCCATCTAATTCCGGACAAATTAAGCTACAAAGCAAAGCTCTCTCACCCCAAAAATTGTAGCTTTGGAAAAAAACCTGTTGCTCATCACATAAGCAAAAAGTAATGGGTAAAACGAAATAATACTTGCCCATCATCAACTACAAGACCAGCATTTTGAAGATCGCAAATTTTGTTATGAAAAGAGCAAAAGGAATCAGAAACAAAGTTAGGGTTCCTATTAGAAAGACAAAAAAACAGAGAGAGATAGAGAATAGAGGGGAAAGTTCTACCTTTTTTATATAAAGCAGATGAAAATATTTGCCCAAGACTAAGACAACATAACGAGCGGCGTAGAATGAAGGTAAGAGGCAAAATAAACAAGGCAAAATAAACAAGGCAAAAAGCGCGTGGAAAGGGAAAAAGGGGGATTGACCGGAGAAGGTAAGGGCTAACTGTAAAGAATGAATTTGGTGAGTGGAGTGGAACACCTTATCATCAAGATATTCATTTAAATTCTTGCTTTTTAATTGCCGACGCATCTGAGTCGATTTACGTTGTATATCTAATTTTAATCGATAAATCTTATAATAAAATTATTTTATGTATATAAAGATTTAAATTTAAAATTTTACTTAAACAATATCAAAGGTCTCGATATCATTCAAATAATTGCCTCAAGTCACTCCAGTAAAAATTAGTTTGTAGCATCCAGTTGCAGGTTCTGTTGGTTTCCTTTGATGCTCCCTTTTCCCCCAATTTGTTGAGCATGTTGTCGATTAGTACCGGTCATTCGAGTATGATATTTATAAAGATATTTAAATATTTATTATTAAATAATTAATTTTTTTTAAATAAATACCAAAAGCATATTAAATATTAGTGGAACGCTTAATAAAATATAAATATAACTAAAACAGATACTAAAATGAGGCTATATTAAAGACTCGTCATCACCCATGTGGCTCTTGAATATTTGAAATATTAAGCGAAATTCTCGTAGGATTGAAAAATGGAGTCTCTCTCCACTAGAGGAAGAATAATAATCACTTATGTATACGCGAAATATGTCCAACCATCATTTACATACACATGATGTCATGTGTTACGTTATCACTCATTTACGCATGATCTATTATATATAATACATGTCACATCAATGATAAACGTTAATAGTTCATTAACTAATCATTTGTGTTCAATTAGTAATTATTTTATTTTAAAATGAAACATTGAAAGTTAGAAGTGTTTTAAAAAATAAGAACTAAAATAATTATTTTATCAAATATTAGGGTATTTTTTGTCATTATACGAAAAACAAGTGAAAGCAACAAATGGTCGTCAAAACCCGCGATCCGACTCGTCTGGCGAAGGAAAATGCACAATCCTATTCTCTCCAATTCCCTGTCTCTCTGTCTGTAACCATCTTTGCTGTCTTCTTTCTTCTTTTCTGTCTCTGGACTTTTCTCCCTGCTCTGCTACAATACCCCATCTTCTTCTACTGTCCACACTTTCCATCTCCATCTTTTTCCAGGTAAAATATAACAAGAAAAATCTTTAGCTTTTGTGGTATCTTCATCCACATTCCCCAAAGGGACAATGTGGGGAAATGTAATAGGTTTGAAAAGGATAGAGAATTAGATATACAGGTAGAAAGATCTGATTTTGGTTTCAAGAGATGTACAGAACACCGTTTCCGGCTCAGTTCTCTGATTCTCACCGCCGTATCATCGACCACAATCCCACTCCCGTTCGAGCCTATCAAGTTTGGAAAGGAAGCAATGTAATTTACTACTTGCCCATTTTCCCCCCAAAAAATTCTTGTTTTAAATGATTGTTCTTGAACTTAGAACGTTTTTGTAATGTCTACCCAGAAATTTTTCCTTGGAGGTAGAGTTATATTTGGTCCAGATGTAAGGCCAGTCTTCCTTACGATATCTCTGATTGTGATCCCAGTCGTTTTGTTTTGCGCTTTTGTTTCCCGAAGAATCATTAGCGCATTCGACAATCATCTGGGCGATCTCATTGTAGCTGTTTTGATTCTGTTAACCATATATGTAAGTTCTCATCTTCCATCAACTGTTGTTTTCTTCTGACCGTCTGTGTTCATTCAGTGATTAATATTGCTTTGCCCATCGAACTAGTGCAGGATCTTATTCTTCTGCTCCTCACTTCCGGGAGAGATCCTGGCATTATTCCTCGGAATTCGCATCCTCCGGAACCGGAGGAAGATTATTCGACTATGTCGACGGATTGGCTTGGTAGTCAGAGTAGTTCTGGTGTTCCTAATTTACCACCTACCAAAGATGTTGTGGTTAATGGGATGATTGTCAAGGTTAAATACTGTCATACGTGTATGTTGTACCGGCCACCACGGTGCTCGCATTGCTCGATATGCAACAACTGCGTCGAGAGATTCGATCACCATTGTCCGTGGGTGGGGCAATGTATTGGGAAGGTATATTATGCTTCTGTGTTTAAATTTTTTCAGCTCATGAAATAATGGCATAAGAGATTATAACAGAGATGGCCTTTTATGTATCTACTTCAAATTCTTCATGTTAGTCAATGATGCCTTGTTTAGTTTTGAAGTGGTAACACAACCGAATAATTCGATTCATTATCTCGGTGTCTCTGTAACGATGCAATCATTCACAAAATCATACATTTTCAGTCGTTGGCCAATGGAAACTCTCTGTTTTGTGACAAAAATATGCTGCTCATAGAACTTTCCTAACATGAACTTCCAGTTCAGCTTTGTAAGAATCAATTTAAGATGGGTTTCTACATTTATTTATTTTGTATAAGAGAAGGGGTAGATTTCTTCAACTGGATATAACAGATTGAATTATTGGAATATCTACGTTACAGTTGCACTTGTGAAATGAGATTGTTGTCCCGCAACTTGCTCAGACGATAAAAATGTCTTGTACACCGATGTTCTTCTGTTTCACTAGATGTTTCTCATATGCTTTGCTGGCTTTCATCGAGGGAACTTTTTAATCCTCAAGGATGACATGTAAAAATTGTTTGTTGGCAGAGAAATTATAGATTCTTCTTCATGTTCGTGTTTTCGACAACCGTACTATGCCTGTACGTTTTCGTCTTCTGCTGGATAAACATTAAGAAAATAATGGCCGAGTATCGGTGTAATCTGTGGAGTGCATTCGTGAAGTCCCCGGTTTCTGCAGTTCTTATACTATATACATTTGTGACTGCTTGGTTTGTTGGAGGTCTCACTGTGTTCCATCTCTATTTGATTTTTACCAACCAGGTTCCGATCTTGTCTATACCTTCATTTCTTCCATTATTGTCTGTCCTCTCTCTGCCTTGCTTATTGTATGTTTTTGCAGACAACGTACGAGAATTTCCGGTACCGTTACGATTTAAAAAGGAATCCTTACAACCGTGGTTGTATTCGCAACATATTTGAGGTATTCTTGTCCAAAATTCCCGAGTCCAAAAGTAACTTCAGGGAAAAGGACAAGGTGGACTCATATTCTCTCATTGGCTCATCACTGTCATTTCGGCCTATGACCGCAGATAGGCCAAAAAGAAGCTTTGATATTGAGATGGGAAAGAGGCAAACTGTTGTTGCCGAGGATTTCGAAGAAATAAGCAACTGGATCGATAGAGTTGGGGTATTGGAGAGGTGTGGAACAGAACCGAGGCACACAATGCAAAGTGACAAATCCGACTGGGATATGTCGCCTGAACTAAGTGTGTTGGCTGAAGATTTCGCAATGGAATACAGTTTCAATGATAGAAAGTCTATAAAAAAAGGCCACTGAAACTGTTTTCACCTAAAATTATAGTCGGAAAGCATCATAACAATCTCGGAACTACTTGAAACCCACCAACCTAGATGATTGAAATCGGCAACCGAACAATGTCACTACGATAGGAATCCATCAGAATTTGGTTTTTCAGGATTTATTTGTCTTTGCCAGGGAGGAAGGTTCTTGTCTGGTTAAAGGTATGCTGAGCTTGTGTGATAAATCTCACTGCTTTGATAGATTCTGGGGGTAAGCTTTTGTGCTATAATGTGCTGGTTTGTGAGGAAATGTAATTGGTTTGATTTGTATGTGAATGATTGAATGAAATCATCAATGGTAGAAAAGTTTCTTTAACTGTAGTACATGCTTACTTAAATTCTAGGGGGGACGACCGTTCTTGTCAGTCCGTCAGTCCTTCGGTCCATCCCTGTATATAATATTGATATAGAGACGGTTGTTGGATGCTTGTCTTAGAACTAAATTTGTGAAACTGAGGTGCTTTAATTATCAATTATGGTTTGTTAGTCGTAACCCCCAGCTCTCTAAAACCACCAAATTTACTGATCTTTTTCTTAACAGCTTCCGGTGTCCTTAGTTTCACGACGGTTTTCATTTCCCTGAAAAAGCTTCCGATCTCCGGCTATGGCGAGTTGCAACCAATTAAACTATCTTCTTTTCCACCATCAAAACAGATGGCTAAACCTTTGTTTATTTCGGTTTTCGGTTTTCATTTTTAGACGTATAATAATAACCCATCGATCTCATTTGACGCATCTCTGCAAATTACATTGTGGAAAGATCAAAGAAAGCTAGAGCAATCTGTGCCATGGATATCAAAGCTGTAGAACACGAACAACCTCTCTTGAAGAACATGGAGACAGGATCCGGTGAAAATGTCCGAGAAGAGCCGCAAACCGTGTCGTAATGGTCATTGTTGCATCCATTATTAAAGAAACCTAAAACCAAGAAGCAAAAGATCGTGAGAAAGACCTTCAATGGAACCGCCATTCAGTCCAGGTTTCTGCCTACAGGCTCAGCCCTCACGTTCCAAATACTGTCCCCGATTTTAACAAACAACGGCCGATGCAGAACCGAGTGTGTTTCTTTCTTTCGTTCACCGATAGTTACCGAGACGAAAGAGGGAAGGTCCGATACGGGGTGGCTACGTTTAGAGGGTTATGGGTGATGAATGGCAAGGTTGAACTTTCGGCAGAGGAGGCCAACAAGTACAAGCTCAAGTTCATTGATTTTTTACATGCTTTGATGTCCGTAATGATCTTTATGGCGCTTGTTTTGTTCGACAGAAATGTCGTCAACTGCTTTCACCCGGAGGCGGAAGAGGAGAGCAATGAGTTGTGGCTGATGGTGTTGCCTGCAAGCATTGGAGCCATAGGCTGCTACTAAGAGTTCCATAATATTTTTCTTAATGCATGCTAGTAAGAGTTCCATAGTATTTACTTTTCGGCTTCATGGGGTAAAATCCTTTAGGAGGGCCAAAATCTTAATGCATGCTACTAAGAGTTCCATAGTATTTTTCTTTCAATATTTTGTTTAATCGGCGACGGCATCAATCTTATTGTTGGTTTCCAATCGCTGGTGACTATTAGTTCTCTTGTTTTTTTTTATATTATGTCTTTTATTTTATTTTATTTTATTCAGTACTTTTAATTTTGAATAAGAATCTTTGTCATTGTGACACGTGTTTTCTCTTATAGCACGATCTTTATAGTTTTTGATACGTTTTCCGTATGCCTTTGTGGTTAATTTGGTTCTTGCACAAAAACTATCACGACATTTATTTTTTGATTGGTTTTTCGGTGGTCACGTATAGTTAGGTCTCCTTTTTTGGTAAACGATTGTTTGTCGATGTAATCAGAATTGCGTAGCAAAGCAGCCTGCAAGATTTTATGATTCGCTCTCTACACCTTTATCACTTTGTAAAGCGTCTCATTTGACAGAGACAGAGTTTTTATTAAGGGTGTTCACTGTTCGGTAAAAATTAATTAACCGACCGAAATTTTGATTCAGTCGGTTAATTTTGGGTTCAGTTGGTTAACGATTAATGATTTTTTTTCAAATTTTGGTTTCGGTTAATTCGGTTCGAAATCAGTTAATTAACTGAATGAACTGAAATTATTAAATATTTTATATATATATATATATATATATATATATATATATATTATTTAACTTTAGGGGTGTTTGAACTTAATTTTTACAGAATTAACTGATACAATTAACTGAATAAACAAAACAGTATTTAATATTTAATATATAATATATATTATTTATAAATTTCGGTTAATTCGGTTAACCGATCAATTAACAGAACTTAGTTCGGTTCGGTTAAAATTTTTAGAAAAAATTCGGTTCGATCAGTTAACCGAATTACCCGTTTGAACACTCCTAACATTTATGAAGGTATTAAGTTTTGATGTTGATCGTCATGATTAATGAAGTTTTATTTTTTTTTTTGTATCTTTAAGTTTAGTATTTATTTTTATATAAGTATTTTAATGATTATTATCTCTAAATTTTTCTCTATATTTTGATGCATTTTTTTATTTTTTTATTATTAATGAAATCTAATTACCATTGTTAAAAGAAAATTCCATGGTAAATTTCTTATAGTTCACTTGACCTGCAAAGTCTTTTACATGATGGTAAATGTCAACTTATATAATAATATAAGTAAAATAGGAATATTAAATACTAGATTTATTATTTAATACAAAAAGTATGTGGTATGGAATAAAATAGGGTTGAATTCGAGGAGGGGACCTCTACAGTGAAAAAGAAGGTTTGATAGTGAAAGTCAGAATCTTATCGGTTATCACAATGTTTTTTTATAAAACATCGAGCAGAAACAATTATTAAGGGTAGGTAAAACTCGATTCGATTCTAAAATTAAATTTTTTTAACTTAATTTGACTAAAAGACTATCTTAAATTGACTTCGAGTCATAATTTCATAAACTCGATTCAACTCGAAAAAATTTTAAGTTTAAATCGAGTCGTAAAATATAACTTGAATAACTCAAAATTTTTAATAATTAGTAGATTTATTTTCAAGTTTGAGTCAAGTCTCTGGACTTTATATGATATATTTATATCACGTATAAAAAATATGAAGAAATATATTTGTATTGTATATATGATTATAGAAAGTTACTTAAATTGAAATTAAATAATATTATAAATATTTACAATTAAATTTAAACAGAAACTCATAAAATTGACTCGATTCGAAAAAAAATTTAAGTCAAAACTGAATTATAAAATATGACTCATCAACTCGAATAATTTAAAAAAATTTAACTCAGCTTAATTCGACTCGATTAAACACTTAAGCTTATCAATTATTGCAATTTTGAGTCCCCAACATGTCTGTGTCTCTCAAACCCAGGACCACTTCAATCAAGACCTTTTATATCTCTTCTTTTTAATTGAATCTCAAGCCTTTATTTGATATTAAAAAGTTAGATGGATTTCACTCTTAGGGGTCGTTCAATTAGTAAAAATCTTGATATCGTTTAAGTAATGTTTCAGATTTAAATCATTGTGTATGTAATGGGAGACTCACCCACTAAAGTCAGGTATGCGACGTGAGTCGATCCATATTAGTCAAGACAAAGCCTTGGAACTGGAGGACAAAAAAAAAAGTTAGTTGGATTTCTATTATATTCATTATTATTAATTTTTATTTAGCTAAACTGATTACAAAGTAATATTTGTTCTAAATATTTTTAATCATTTGACAATGAACTCTCAATCACCTTGTTGCAATCACTGATGATTGAACTCGTGATCTCAAAGAATAACAACGATTTTTTTAACCACTTAGGTAAGTTGATTCGTGTTCTATTATATTTAATTTTAATTTAAGATTATAATAACATATTTAATGTTTAAATAAACTTGGTTTTATACTTTTAGGATAAAATTGGTTTTAGTTAAACTATCATATATTCACCAATCTATTGGTGATATAAAATTTTAGGGTGAAGTATATAAATGATCTCTAGACTGTAGGATATCCTTTTATTAAGTTATTCAATTACTAAAAGTTATAAAATGGTAATTCGATTATAGAGTGTTACTTTATTGAGTCCCTTAATTATTAGAAGTTACAAAATGATGACTTGACTATTCATTATGTTATATGCTCATCCTTTTACGTTAGAAAATTGACGGTATTCTGAGCTGAATGTTAACATGATGACTGTGATATGATAAAATATGATCTGAAAATCTTAAATGACTATCATATCTCAGTCATCATGTTAACGTCCAACCTAGACAACTGTCAATTTTTTAACGAAAAATGACGAGTTTGGAACATAATGAATAGCAGGATGACCATTTTGTAACTTTTAATAGTCAAAGAACTTAACAAAGCAATATTTTATAGTCAAATGACCATTTCAAAACTTTTAATAGTCGATAGACTTAACAAAGTAACCCTCTATATTAGGGGGACTATTTGTCTAAACCATTAAGCCAAGTACAACTTTTGGTGTTTTTAACTAAAGATGTATTTTAACCCGAATCTGATGGGTTCTGATCTTACCTGACCTGATAGGGTCGAATTATTTTTTTAAATTCGGGTTTAGGTCAGGTTCATGTGGATGGTGAAAAAATTACGACCCAACCCGACCCAAGGATAATAATGTAATTTCCTTAAAAAAATTATTATTTTTTAATTAAGTCTTTATTTTATATCGGGTTCTGTCAGATTTATACTCTAAAAATTCTAGTCTCGTGGAGAATATATATTTTTCAGGTCGGATCGGGTAAGGTGGAGGATATAAAATTAAACCCAAATAACTATAAAAATGATTTGTTTTTAAATTAAGAGCAAACGAAGAAAGACTAATGTTTCAATGTTTAAGGTCGCACGATTTGATAGCTTCAACTCTAGCATGCAGAGGTGAGGACGGTCCTCTAATCTAATTTGTTCTATTCACAACTATTAGGATTGAATTCTTAATTTTATTTAAAGAATTTAATGTCTCATCCCATTGTATCATATACATAAATTCACTTACAGTTTAATTTGATTAATTATTTCTTTATAACAAAAATATTTCTTTTTTAATTTATGATTAATTATTTTATATTTTAAATAATGTATGAAAATCTTAATCTTGTGCATCAATTTACTTGAAATATTGCTGCTAAAGGCAGAAAGAAATAAGATAGTGAGAGATCGGGCGGGACAAAGATCACCCGGCAAGCATAGATAAGGACCTGAAAGTTCAATTTAGGAAATATTTGTTGTTGTGTGTGTGAATGAATTTTGGAAAAATATTTTCTGAATTTCTTGTAATTATTTCATAGAAAATATATAAGTTTACCTAATGGAAATTATTTATTGATAAGTGAAAATTAGTTTTTTTTCAGAAAATATTTTTATATAACGAACTTATAGTTTTTTTTATCTTTATTATTAATTTAAAAATATATCGTTGATTTAAAAAATATAATTTTGTTTATAAGAGAAAAATTAATCAAAGTGAGATTAACACGAAATAAAATATGTAGAATAGATGAAAATTTTAATTTTATTCAATTATATCTAATTTCATCTACGAGAGGAAAAGTCTATTATAAAATAAAAAGTATAAATTCATAAAATTTTATGTATCATAACACTCAATTACCCTATTGCAGTCCTTGTGCTTGAACCTATAACCTCTAAGAACAACAACGATTTCTTCAATCATTGAAATAAATTGATTCGTGTATTTACGTTACTCTTCCTACGCTTAAATAAATTGGTTCGTGTATTTACGTACTCTTCCTACGTTACAACAAAATCGTATAATTTAATAAAAGATATGCTATCTACGTGATTACTGACTATTCAAACTCCTCACCATATATTTGTGTAACAGTACTAAATAAACATCGAAAAATCATATATTATATGAAGAAATGAAAATGTCATCAATTAATCAATCAAAATCAAGTAGTAAGTAGTTTGATATTGTTTAAATAATATTTCATGTTCGAGTCCTTCTGTATGCAGAAAATCTCTATTGAGAGACTCGCCTATCAAAATTAAGTGTGCTACTCGATCGGTCTAAATTAATTAAAACGATGATTTAAAAATAAAGGGAAAAAATGTCATCAATTGGTTCCACCCCATCCATCACTTTCTTTTTTTCATGCATATCTAAACCCATTCGAAGCAAACTTTTCTTATAAAAATAAATGAATTTAAATAACAGCTCACGAGCACGAGATTCAGAAAATTTTCAACAAATTTCAGTAAAAAGGTCATCCACAAATTTAAACAATTGTCGTGCAACTGGTTCATATACATACGGAACAAAAACGCAAAGAACAAACAAAAACCCCATAGATCTTAATCCAAGTTGTGGTCCAGATCCAATCTTTTCCACGCTCCACTTCTAGATTTTCTGTGTAAACAAACAGCAACTAGAAACCCCCAACACTTCATTAAGCGTGTTGATTTCCCCCTTCTCTGCGTCTCAGTTCTTCAAGTTGAAAAAAGAGTTCCCATTTCTTCTATATATATTAACGTAAAGTTTGGATTTTTCTCATCTTTTTTTTTTTTTTGCTTTGCCGAGTAATTGTATTAATGCTAGCCGTGTCACCTTTGATTAACACGAGGAACGATGAGAGCAAAGGAAAGATGGAGAGTTTCGGTATTATTAGCTTGGAAGAGTTCCCAGATTTCGCCGACGGAAATTTACTCGAAAGCATTGATTTTGACGATCTTTTTGTTGGCCTCGATGAAGGTGGTGTGCTACCGGATTTGGAGATGGACACTTCAGTAGGGAAAATCAATGAAGATGCTAATCAAAGGAAAGATGAGGAAGAAGATAAGGTTTCGGGTTCAGGTTCGAGCTCGAGTTCGAGTAAAGGGGAGGAGATTTTGAGCAAGAGAGAGGAACCTAATGCAGTTGATAAAACAGCTTCCAAACATGGTGTTAAGGGAAGAAAATCTTCAGGACAAGGAAAAAATAACAAACAAGAGAAGCGAAAACCCAAGGTAAAATCTTCACTAATTAGGTTTTTTTTAATTCGTTTAAATTTAATGATGAGTTGAATTATGTGAAGAAGGTGGATTGGACGCCGGAGCTTCATCGGAGGTTCGTTCAAGCGGTGGAGCAGCTCGGGGTGGAGAAGGCGGTGCCTTCAAGGATTTTGGAGCTTATGGGCATCGATTGTCTCACTCGCCATAACATTGCCAGCCATCTTCAAGTAGTTCCACTATCTTTTCTAATATGGTGGACTGGTTTGATATTTGAACTTTGAAGATATGAATAGTTTATGTTTTATTGTTTGCAGAAATATAGATCTCATCGGAAGCACTTGCTAGCTCGTGAGGCCGAGGCGGAGAGTTGGAGCCACAGGAGGCAAATGTACGGTGGCGCCGCCCCGGCTGGTGGAGGCAAGAGGGATATAAATCCATGGGTTGCACCCACCATGGGTTTCCCTCCTGTGTCACCACCCATGCACCACCATTTTAGGCCTTTGCATGTATGGGGTCATCCCACCATGGATCAATCCCTCGTGCATTTATGGCTTAAACATCCAGGCCACACACCGCCGCCACCACCGTCGACTTGGGGACCTCCACCTGCAACAAATCCCTCGTTTTGGCATCACCACCACAAACTCGTAACCCCAGGAACACCTTGCTTTCCCCAGCCAATGGCACCAACGGTACACAATCTCTACTTAAAGTTTGATTGTCACGACATTAATACTGTAATTACTCCATTACAACGTTCCAAATTTAGACATCAAATTTATAATTCCGACAATAATTTCGTTGATATGATGCTTTGGTAGACTAGCTTTATGTTTTGGCATCTAGAAACTTTATGTAGACGAAGCTTTCTAGTTATACTGAGTTGATAAGGTGCTTTGGTAGACTAGCTTTATGTTTTGGCATCTAGAAACTTTATGCAGACGAAGCTTTCTAGTTACACTGAGTTGATATGGTGCTTTTGTTGCAGAGATTTGGTGCAGCACCGGTCCCGGACATTCCCCCACACCACAAGGGCACTGGTGGACAATCGGGACCCCACCCTCTCGTTGCCTGCCACCCGGTTAGATGCTCTCACGTTGCTTTCGACTACCTCCTTATTAATAGCTTGATGATGTTAATCGTTTGATAATAATTTTGATGAATTGCAGACGAATGAGAGCATAGATGCGGCTATCGGCGACGTTTTATTGAAACCGTGGCTGCCGTTTCCTCTCGGACTGAAGCCGCCATCCACCGATAGCGTTCTGGGAGAGTTGCAACGTCAAGGAGTGCCCAACATACCACCCTCCCGTGCATGATCACCTTAATTCGACGACATAACCTTGTGTTAGGTTCTTGTAGAAATCTAATTTCGTTTCGTTTTTTTTTAGTAAAACTTGGTTCTTCTTGTTCCTTTGCGTGGACAATTTCATTTATAAGCATCATCCATGTTTGTTAATAAATTGTTCAAAAATATTAAAGACAAATCAAATACAGTAATTAAGTTAAAGAAATAAAATGAAGTCAATGTTGATTCATAAAGTAAATAAAATGAAGTCATTGTTGATTCATAAAGTATACGACGATAATTCATTAAATTTATATCCAAACTGATTATACAATTCAAATTCTGACATTAATTGGACCACAAATCAGTGACGGACGAAAACATGTCAATTATGGTGTTATTAGCCACGGATGGGGCCTAACTTTATGAGGGCTGTCGTAGTTTCCGGCAAGAATACACAGAAGTACTTTGTCATTAAACAAAAATCAAATACTGGATAAGGGGAGAACAGTAGTTCTAGCAAGCTTGCCATTACCACACGGTAGAAGCATTCTCGGGCCATGCCAGGTCGGCTTAAAATCTGATTTTTGAATCCGAGTCTGGGTTCGAACCAATCCCACCTCATTTGCTTCTGATGATAAAATATGATTAATGTAGCTTTTGGTGCTAAAGTATGATTAATGTCCAGATGGTTGGAACAAGTTTTTTTAATAATTTAGAGTGATTATAAGATAATATTTGTTTAGAATATTTCTTAGCCATTTACAACGTACACATAACATGCAAACGCAGCTCTTTGAACCCAAAACCTCTAGGGGAACACAGGTTAAATGGATTGAAACCAGTTCTCTCCAAAGAGAGTGCATGTGTATAGACCTGATGCGGAGCCAACCCTAGTTGCAAGTTGCATTGGTTCAGCTACCAAAACAAAGTAAACAAGCTCATATGCACTAGGAACCCAAGGGTTAGCCCTGTTGGTTATGGGCAGTCATTCCATAAGAATAGCCCGGACTAGAGAGTGCATGTGTTCAAACACAAAAAAGAAAACTAGAATGCATTAGCATGCCTGCTCATTGCATACATGTATATACATACCAGTACAGACGATGATATGATGCAAGTGTAGCCTTCATGAAGAAATCAAGAAAGCGATGCTTTCGGTAATAGCTTTATTCTGGAATTGATTGAGAATGTAGGATTAAACATGAAAGATGCAGAACATATTAACCCTCAGCTGACAATGAAAGTGAATATACTTGCCTATAATTATACCCAAATTAGGAGAGCCCTACATTGATAACGAAAACAAAGATATTTGACTATAATTATACCCAAATTAGGAGAGCAGTCTACACCAAAGATCCCAATAGATGGAGGTAGGGTATATCTACCATGAAATCAGACAGTTGTAGGTAGAAAAATAATGACAGGACACCTTGAAGTTGGATGGAAAAAATGTTCTGCTTAGTGTTCTAAAAAAATAGCAAGAACACATTCATAAAGCTAAACCAAGTTCGCAAAAGAGGTAAACAATTAAGTCGGAATAAATAACATCTTTTCATTACAATTAATTTTTCCGAAGCGGAGCTGATCATTCATAGCATATAAACAAGAAGCAAAAGATAATCTAAATAAACTTCACAATGAAATATGTCCAATACTAAGAAGTACTACAGCAATCTCAAAGGACTGATCATGACACAAAATCAAACCAAGAATCAAGCCCAAAGATTACTTTAAAAGTATTCAATTCCAAGAAATATATTCAATCATAATAACGGCCCCTAATTCGTACCCTGGTCAGGAACAGTAACAAGTTCATATTCGACTAAAGAAAGAATGTTATCTTCTTTAACATCGAATTTAGCAGGTTCGGTTACCTCAATCCGTCCCCATTTGTCTACTGCTAGCCTCATCGTAGTTCGCTTGAACATAACAATCTTAGCATTGCGTAAAATCACAGTGGCACCTTTCTCCATAAGATCGACTGCATCATACAGATTGAATTTAATGATTTCATCAACATCAAAACCATGAAGTGGTAATAAGCAAGCAAGGAAAAACAAAAGTATATCTACAATAGAAAAACAACAATAGAGTACACTGTTCAAGACCAATAAGAAGACAGTTTTTAAACAAATACAACAAATTTTCTTTGTGAAAAAATATAACGCTTATTCAATAAAATCCAAAGAAAATAAAATCAATTAAAATACAGAGACTATAAATTTCTATGAGATACCTTGCTCGTTGCGTGCAGTGAAGACGATGGTGCCGGTCTCATCTCCGACAACGCACTCAGCGATTCGGGCAGGAGGAGGAGGTCGAGAGAGTAGAGCACGAGACCTGTTGGGCCTCGAGGAAGTGTTGACTGGAGTCGTCTCTATTACTTTGACGATCAAGGTGTGCCCAGTTGTACCGGGCTTCAAATCCTCAACTTTCACGAACACCGGCTTTCTCTTAGCGTTTGCTTGTCCCGTCCCGGAGGCCATTTCGCTCAATCGGAAGATTTGGTTTTGTCTAAAACCCTAGGAATTTTGGCAGTGTTTTGGATTGTTTTATTGGGAGGGATGGAGGGCAGGATAGGAATATGAACTCAAATTGGGAAATTCTAGGGTTTTTAAGTTATTTGGGAAATTGGGTAGGCTGTTATTGAACTGACGTCACGGGAGGGGATCATTTACACGTGTTTTAATCTTATTGGTGTTTCCCCGGTCAATGATTTTGGAAGGATGAAACATTCCCTTATCAAAATTTAATTAGATTAATTGATCGATTTATTAGATTTTAAATTAATTAATAATTATTTTTAAATTTAATTATCAATTAATTTTATTTTAATTAATTAATTAAAAATATTAAATATATATATATAAATATTAAATTCAAACACAGTAGTGATTAATATTTAATTATTTTTAACTATAATAAACACATTAAACTTTTAAGACTTAATCAATTTTAATATCTCTACCAAACCTAAATGAATCTAACTGAAAATTTATAATACGTTTCAGTTATTTAAAAAATCAATAGAATTAACTAAATTTTATTCCTTTCATTTAATAAATTTAAAAGACTTAAATACACATTTGTTCTAAACTATACAATTTGTATCGAATTATCTCCTAAAGTATTTTTTGAGATGTTTTACCCTTAACTATAAATAATTTTTCAATTTGCCCCAAATCGTTAACACAATTAAAGATAAAATTCACGGATCAATCAGAATATACCATGTACAGTTAAATAATTACCCAATTTACCCCAAATTGTTAACACTTAGTTTCTTAAAGCAGCATACATACATGGAACACTGAACAAGAATCAAAACGATTTTCAAATGAACCCAGCAAATGGTCTCGATAATTAAAGTAAATGATATTTCTTTTTAATATCTCGAATTTAAACAGTTGTATTTACGGAATAAACGTGTGTTCCACGTGGTTAAATAAGCGATTTTCAAGCTCAAATCAACAGTGCTCATTCACGAAACAACCAAGCTAAAATAACGTGCTGAACCCACTGCTGCTGATGAAACTAAAACCGACTTTCGTCGAAATGATCGTGTGCACACATCACGTTTTATTGTTTCTTCCTTCCTCGAAGGTTAGCTATGTATTAATTAATGCCTTCAAATCGTCAATTTGATGGCTGTAAATGGCTTTTCAGAGTCGAGAAGAAAGCTGATGGCTCTGTGGAAAGGTTGAAGGCTCGTCTAGTGGCTGAAGGCTTCTCTCAACAGGATGGTTGTGATTTCAAAGAGACCTTCAGTCCTGTTGTTCGTGTTGCTACCATTCGGTTTGTCTTAGCTACTGCTGTTATTAAGAACTGGCACATTCGTCAAATTGACATCAGCAATGCGTTTCTAAATGGGCAGGTTGTGGAGGAAATCTACATTGCAAAAACCCCTGGGTTTGAGACCCATGGTCTATTGGGTGAAAAGCTTTTGTGTTGTGTGCAAGTTACATAAAGCTCTTTATGGTATTCGGCAAGCACCACGAGCTTGGTTTGACACTCTTAAGAGTTTTCTGGTGAGCAAAGTGGGTTTTGTAGCTGCTAAGATTGATTCCTCACTTTTTATCAAATGAACTGGTGATAATTGTGTTCGTTTGATGCTGTATGTGGATGATATCATCATCACTGGTGGAAATGCTGCTGAAGTGGATGATATGGTTAAGATGGTTGGTGCTGAGTTTGCTCTGAAAAACCTGGGTGAACATGATTATTTTCTTGGCGTGGAGGTTCAGCATGATGATTCTGGGTTGTTGCTGACTCAAAGGAAATACATTGAGGAACTGCTAATAAAGGTAGATATGGCTCAGACCATGCCTACACCTACTCCAATGACGGTTGTTCCCAAGTTGAGAGCTGATAATTGGCAAGATATGGGTTATATTCATTTGTATCGAAGTATTATAGGTGGCCTGCAGTATGTGTGCGTGACTAGACCTGACACAGCCTTTGCAGTGGATAAGGTGAGTCAGTTTATGAACAAACCTCTTGATAGTCATTGGAAAGCTATTAAGCGAATACTGCGATGTCTCAGTGGTACTCGTAGTCACGGATTGATGTTTAAAGGAGCTGAAACTTATAGCTTGGTGTGTTATGCTGATGCAGACTGAGCATCTTCAGTTGAGGATAGAAGGTCAACACCTAGTTATTGTGTTTTTCTTGGCCCAAATCTTGTTACTTGGTGCTCCAAGAAGCAAGCTGTTGTCTCTATATCATCCTCTGAGGCAGAGTGCCGAAGTCTGGCCAATGTTGTTTCTGATCTTGTTTGGGTTGAGCACTTGTTGAATGAAATTGGAGTAAAGCTGTCTCAAGTGCCTGTTATCTGGTGTTATAACACTTCAACAGTTTCAATGGCTGCAAACCCAACTCATCATGCTAAGATCAAGCATGTTGAGATTGACTATCATTTTGTTTGGGAGAAGGTTCTGGCTGGACAACTTGTTGTCAATTTTGTGCCTTCAGATGAGCAAATTGTTGATGTCTTAACTAAGCCTATTCCTCCTCCATTGTTTTTTTGCATGCGAAGCAGACTTGGTGTTTTGTCTGTGGAAGGAGATCAGAGAAGACGGCCTTGGGCTCGTCTCTGGTGGTTTGTATTTTGCTATAAGTAGGCTTTGTAAGGTCTTTGTTTCTTCTCTACTCGGTTTATGATTTATAACAAGAGGAATGATCAGTAGTGGAAATCTGAAGACGCATAGGTGATCGTTCGACGATGGTGAATGCAGACGCTGATAGTTGGCGACGAATGACAACGGAGTTAGGATGAAAGATTTTAGGGTTTCGATTTTTTTTAATTTTAGAAAAAATTTAAGGTTTTTAAAACTAGTAAATTTTTAATTTCTTTTTTTTAAATAAAATTTTAAAAAAATATAAATTTGATAGTATCATTTAATAGTTTTTTTACCGTCATTATTAAGCTGCTAAAATTATAACGAAGAAAACATTAGACATTTAATTTTAAAAAAGAAATATTTTGACACATAAATTTAACCTAAAATATAATTTAGGTGCGAAATATAATAATCAAAGCATTCCTTGGGAGACCTCGTAGCCATGTTCCTTGAGGAGTCTGAATCTAAGAGCTGCTGCATGAAGACTCCACTCTGTAGGCACAAATTTCTGAAGGGTTCTATCGATATTCATCTCAAAACGATGCCCCAACCCCAGCCGTTGGATGTCATCAATGAGTTCAAGCAAACTCACTGAGTCAGAATTCTCACCATTGATATCAAACCTTAGTTCCTGCTCTAACTTCGCTGCTTTCTCTTTGTATACGATATCCTGCAAATTCAGCACCAAACAGTTAAGTACAGAAAGAAAGAAAGGGAAAAGACTTGTTGTTTTGCACGAAATATAATTACTGCATGGTCATTCTTCAAGGACTGAAGGAAATCGTAGCTCCAAATAGTCGGCTGGTAATTCACTTAACGTCTTCCGTCTCGTGGCTGATCAGAATCAGAAACTCGTGCGTCCGACGACAGGGCGGAGCGGATACAGAAACCACCGTTGAATGAACGATCGTTAGATTCAACTTCTCGACGACTAATATAGCTAGGGATCATTATTTGGTTAGGGTTCACATGGGGGAAGAGGATGAGACCAGTGGCTGCCAATGCCATTTCTGTGTTTTCTTACACTGTTTTCTTATTATATAATTTTTTTTTTTGAGAGTATAAAAAGTTACAAAATAATTATTTGATTGTTAATATGTTTTAAACTTTTTTGTTAAAAGTTTACGGTGGTCTAAGTTGAACTAAATCTGTAAACTCGGATAAGATAAAATTTGATCTTAAAACCGTTTAAATTGTGTAGTTGTTTGAGATTCTATGGTCATATTTAATTATATCCAATCACCATGTTAACATCTAACTCAGACGATAATCACTTTTTAATAGAAAATAATCAGTTTGAAACATATAAATAATAATATGATCATTTTGTAATTTTTAATAGTCGAAGGACTTAACAAAGTATTACTTGTATTTGAGAAATCATTTTATAATTTTTAATAGTCGACAAAACTTAATAAAACAATATCATATAGTCGAGGGATGATTTATATATTTTACGCTAATTGCTAGAGTAGAAGGTTATAAAATAATAATTAAAATTTTTAAATAGTTATAAAATAATTATTAAAATTTATTAAAATATTACAAAGCGGTCTTTAGATTTATGGTGCTATTATAAGACGGTCCTTCAAATTATAGTAATTTATTGCTGTTTTAATGTTGTAGGGGATTATTGCTTATTGTGTTACCATTTAGTCTTAGTGAGAAAAGATTATGAATACATTATATATATATATATATGTATGAATCATGTCCATACTTCCAACATGCTTATGTTAATGAATTTTCATGATATATATAGGGCCGTAAATGAGACGATACAGATCGTGAGCTCGAGATCAATTCGGTCAAAACTCGATAAATACTCGAATCGAATGGACTCGACTCGAGTTCTTAACAAACTGAAACGAGCTACTTGATACATGACTCAAAAAGCTCCTAAATATAATATATTAAGATTTTATTTTTTAAAAAAATTATTAATAATATTAACATTTATGTATTGATTTTTTTTAAATGCAGTATAAGGTTTTCATGTATTTAAAATTCATGTTCGAGTCCGAGTTTGAGGCTTCAATCGAGTTAAGTTTAAGATAATTTTTTCATTTCGAGCCTTTTGGAGCTTTTACGAGCTTCAATTCATGATTTCGAGTTCTAGTCGAGCTTGAAAATTTTAAACTCGCGAGTTTTCGAGTTGAGTCGAGCTCCATTTCAGAGTTTTCAAGTCGAGTCGAACTTAACAATACTCGAGCTCAACTCGCTTACATCCCTAGATGTATGTCATATTAATAGTATATTATTGAACTTGTGAAACTCAACGCTCAAATGTTTCCAACTAGTAGATTTGAATAGTTCATGGAGCACTCTCGCTGTAGGATTTCCAACATCCGTATATGGAGTACAATATCCGAGTACTTTAATGACGATGTATATCCATAAGACCCTTATATGTATTTGGTTTTTAACTTTAATTATATTTTGGATTTATTTTGAGTAGTACTTGTAAATTAGAGCTCCGATTTTGAAAGTTTTATTAATTCTTTTATATATATATATATATTGTCAAGAAAGGAAAAAATTTAGGTAGTGATCGCTCAGGTGACCTTGCATGGTACACTAGACTCATCTTGTTATGAATCGAGTTTAGAGTATTACAAAATACTAGTTGACTATAGATTTCATTGATCAAAAGGTTCCATTTATTTTTATGTATACATTTGTTGTTTTGCTCGATAATCAAGGACGGAGCCAGTATTCTAATTCAAGGGGGACAAAATATAATTAATCATAGAAAACGAAAGGAAATATAATTAATTAAAATAAAGGGACAACGAAGAACAAGTGTGTGGGAAATTTTATGGGCATATAATAGAATTGCATCATTTAATCGGTGACCCGAGCGCAGAGGGTTATGACACTGCACCCTCTAGTGTAAGGATTAACCCCTCCGGCAGCGCCGCAGTTGTAGTAGGATTGGCCTCGTTGGTTGCACGGAACGGCATTCTGCCTTAAGGCGCTGTAGCTAATGTATCTTTTTCCGGCTAACGATCGAGCAGTTTCGGCCGAAAGGGATTCATCCACATATTCTTTGCACTCACCGGAGACGCCGTCACACGTTTGGGTCGCACCGAGACTTCGATAACGGACCATGCTCGGAAACATCGCTCCACCCCAGTTGATGGCGGCATGGGAAGACGATGACGCCGCCGATAAGGCAAGAAAGAATATAAGGAGAGCGCAAGAAAGATGATTACTCATCGGAGAAAAAGTAGGAAAGAGGTTCCGAAAAAGGAAGAAGAAGTCGACGACAATTACGATATTATTTTTTGATGACAAACCATAAGAATATTTTATTTCGAAAACCGATTACGGAATTATTTGTGTTCAGCCATGCTTTATATGTGTGGTTTTGACTTGTTTTACGCTTAGCTTAACGTTCGTTTGGGTATGCACGTTTCTTGCTCCTAGAAATTTGTCCTAAATAATTTTTTTTTCACCTTTTGTTATTATCAATAACAAATACAATTATATATATTATAGTCATGCTATCTCTAGATATCATCCAATACCGAATATAAATAATCTCGAAATATCCGTATAAATCGTATCACTAAGGTCATAATAGTTTAGACGTGTATTTATCAACATCACCACTAGATCCTATAAATAATATCGAGTATCCGTATAGTTTTCTCGATTATCACTAAGACGGCATAGATATAATATTCAAGTGTCACTATGGCTACAGTTCGTTATAGTATGTATGTATAATTTAGTAATGGTCGTTAAGACCAAACAAGCAACTATGTTTTACTTACGTCATTAAAGCTAACAATAATAATCTTATGCCTATAAGATCACTTATTGAGCACTAAGCCCAAATATCTGAGTCTAGTGTTGAAATGTCAAAGCTTGGAAAATTGGTTCAAGTTAGGCACCTAATATTGTAATGTCAAAATTAGGTGCAACAATGTCAAAATTAGGTGCAATAATGTTTGAAAATTAAATGGGTAAATTATAAACTTTAGTCACTAAACTTTAGGGTATTTATAAGATTAGTCCTTAAGTTTCAACTATAAATACCCTAGCTCATTTAGCTTCAAAACCATCCCAAAGCATTCTAGCTTTCTTCCAATATTAGAGAGATTTTAGAGAGTTTCTTGAGAGTTGTTTTCTCCTTTTTATCTAGAGAGAATTATCATTGTTTTCTCCTTGGTAGATCGAGAGAGGTTGTAATTCCTATTTTCTCATAGTGAAATTCTTCTACCGTTGCCAATGGTTTTTACCCTATTTTTTAGGGGTTTTCCACGTAAATTTTGTGTCTCTTTTATCTTCATTTTTATTTTCTCAAATTATCAGTTGCGATTTTGCTCTATCCGATAGCCTTCTTCCACAACAATTGGTATCAGAGCTAGATTAGAGTGTGTAATATCTGCTTATTGTCTTTGTGGTTGCCACCAAAAGGTGGATCCTCCAACATAAGAAAGTAAGAAGTTATTACCCATTCTTTGAAGGTTCCAGAGAACTATTCACGATAGTGAAATAGTGGGAGCTATTCGTAAACAAAGCAATGGCAATGAAATTTGATATTGAAAAGTTCAATGGGAGAAATTTCTCATTGTGGAAATTGAAGATGAAGGCCATCCTGAGGAAAGACGGTTGTCTAGCAGCTATCAGCGAAAGGCCAGTAGATTTCACAGACGACAACAAATGGATCGAAATGGACGGAAATGCTATGGCAAACTTTCATCTAGCATTAGCAGATGAAGTATTGTCAAGTATCAAGGAGAAAAAGACAGCTAAGGAGATATGGGATCATCTCACCAAACTGTACGAGGCTACATCGTTGCACAATAAAATTTTCCTTAAGAGAAAATTGTACACTCTCCGTATGCCAGAATCTACTTCAGTGACAGAGCACTTAAATACACTGAACACTTTATTTTCTCAGCTTACATCCTTAAGCTGTAAAATAGGAGAACAAGAACGTGTTGAACTTCTACTTCAAAGTCTACCGGATTCATATGATCAACTCATCATCAACTTGACAAACAATAATGTCACCAGTCTAGTCTTCGATGACGTTGCAGCTGATGTTCTACAAGAAGAAAATCGGCGCAAGAACAAGGAAGACAGACAAGTAAATCTGCAACAAGCAGAAGCATTGACAACGATGACAACGATGAGAGGGAGATCAACAGAACGTGGCCAAAGCAGCAGTCACAAACATGGTAGATCGAAGTCGAAAAGCAAGAAGAATTTAAAGTGTTACAACTATGGAAAGAAGGGTCACTTGAAGAAGGATTGTTGGAGTCTAAATAAAAACTCCAATCCACAAGGCAATACCGCAAACACTTCAGATGATGGAGATGCTCTATGCTGTGAAGCGTCAACCACCGTGGAAGGAAGAAAATGATTTGCATATATATGAATCATTGATTCGGGAGCAACATATCACATGACCTCAAGAAGAGAATTGTTCCATCATTATGAACCTGTCTTAGGGAGATCAACAGAACGTGGCCAAAGCAGCAGTCACAAACATGGTAGATCGAAGTCGAAAAGCAAGAAGAATTTAAAGTGTTACAACTGTGGAAAGAATGGTCACTTGAAGAAGGATTGTTGGAGTCTAAATAAAAACTCCAATCCACAAGGCAATATCGCAAACACTTCAGATGATGGAGATGCTCTATGCTGTGAAGCGTCAACCACCGTGGAAGGAAGAAAACGATTTGCAGATATATGGCTCATTGATTCGGGAGCAACATATCACATGACCTCAAGAAGAGAATGGTTCCATCATTATGAACCTGTCTCAGGAGGATCTGTGTATAGTTACAATGATCATGCCTTAGAGATCGTTGGCGTGGGAACCATCAAATTGAAGATGTATGATGGAACAATTAACGTTGTTCGAGATGTGCGGCACATGAAAGGTTTGAAGAAAAATTTATTATCCTACGGATTGTTGGATAATAATGCTAGCAAGATTGAAACACGGAAAGGAATCATGAAGGTGTTCCGTGGAGCGCTTGTGGTGCTGAAAGGTGAAAAGATAGCTGCAAACTTGTACATGCTGAAGGGAGAGACATTGCTAGAAGCAGAAGCCTCTGTTGCCTCATGTAGTTCAGATTCTGCAATGCTATGACATAAGAAACTTGGACACATGTCAGAACAAGGAATGAAATTCCTTGTGGAGCAAAAGCTACTTACAGGCTTAACAAAAGAATCACTTCCTTTGTGTGAGCATTGCATAACAAGTAAGCAGCACCGGTTGAAATTCAACATATCAAATTCTAGAGGCAAAAGTGTTCTAGAATTGGTTCACTCTGACGTATGGCAAGCACCAGTAACGTCCCTAGGTGGAGCAAAATACTTTGTCTCATTTATTGATGACTACTCCAGGAGATGTTGGGTGCACCCTATTAAGAAGAAGTCAGACGTGTTTTCAACTTTCAAAAAACTTCAAAGCGCGGGTGGAACTTGATTCTGGAAATAAGATCAAGTGTTTCAGAACAGATAATGGAGGAGAATACACAAGCGAAGAATTTGATGACTTTTGCAGGAAAGAAGGCATCAAAAGATAGTTCACAGTGGCGAACACTCCTCAACAAAATGGAGTGATAGGGCAGATGAACAGAACCTTGTTAGAAAGAACAAGAGCAATGTTGAGGGACGCATGCCTAGAAAAATCATTCTGGGCAGAAGCAGTCAATACCGCCTGTTATTTGGTGAATCGAGCTCCATCAACTGCAATAGAGCTGAAGACACCAATGGAGATGTGGACTGGTAAACCAGCTGATTATTCAAACCTCCATATATTTGGAAGTATTGTGTACGTAATGTACAACTCCCAAGAAATCTCAAAGTTGGATCCAAAATCCAGGAAATGCAAATTCTTGGGGTATGTTGATGGAGTAAAGGGGTATCGCTTGTGGGATCCCACTGCCCACAAAGTGATCATTAGCAGGGATGTTATATTTGTAGAAGATAAACTACAAAGAAAAGAAGATGATGATAGCGCTGAAAAGTCAGAGACTACTCAGATACATGTGGAAAAAGAGTTTGAAAAAGGAGATTCTTCTGAAGCAGAACCAGCACATGATGAACAAGAACCAGAGAGTTCTGAAGCTCCAACAACTCGTCAATCAGATCGTGTGAGAAGACGTCCCAATTGGAACTCAGATTATGTTATAGAAGGTAATATTGCATACTGCCTTTTAACAGAGGACAGTGAGCCATCAACATACCAGGAGGCAATAAACAGCTCAGATGCTTCACTGTGGATGATGGCGATGCAAGAAGAAATCGAAGCACTTCATAAAAATAATACATGGGACCTTGTGCCACTACCACAAGGAAGGAAGCCAATTGGTAACAAATGGGTTTTCAAAATCAAGCGAAATGGTGACGATCAAGTGGAGAGGTATCGTGCAAGACTAGTGGTCAAAGGATATGCTCAGAAAGAAGGTATTGATTTCAATGAAATTTTTTCTCCTGTGGTTCGACTAACAACAGTTCAAGTAGTCTTGGCAATGTGTGCTACATTGAATTTACATTTGGAACAACTAGATGTTAAAACAGCTTTTCTTCATGGAAATCTTGAAGAAGAGATTTATATGCTCCAGCCTGAAGGTTTTGAAGAAGACGAAAAGAAGAACTTGGTTTGCAGGTTGAACAAATCTCTGTACGGTCTAAAGCAGGCACCAAGGTGTTGGTATAAGAGATTTGATTCCTTCATTATGTGCCTTGGATACAACAGACTTAATGCATACCCTTGTGCTTATTTCAAGAGGTCTGGTGATAATGATTCTGTTATATTGCTGTTGTATATGGATGACATGTTGGTTGCAGGACCCAACAAAGATCATATTAAAGAATTGAAGGCACAACTGGCTAGGGAATTTGAAATAAAGGACTTGGGATCAGCAAACAAGATTCTAGGGATGCAAATTCACCGAGACAGAAGTAATAGGAAGATTTGGCTTTCACAAAAGAATTACTTGAAGAAAATCTTGTCACGATTTAACATGCAAGATTGTAAGCCAATTTCTACCCCTCTTCCTATTAACTTCAAATTATCCTCCACTATGAGTCTTAGCAGTGAAGAAGAGAGGATGAAGATGTCTCGAGTACCGTATGCATCAACAGTGGGAAGTTTGATATTCGCTATGATATGCACAAGACCAGACATTGCACAAGCAGTGGGAGTGGTTAGTCGGTACATGGCGAATCCAGGCAAAGAGCATTGGAATATT